AAAGGACGAAGGATGCTGCACACATGACAAGAATGAGAGACAACAGACAGGCAGGGTTGTTGAATGGTACCCAAACAGCATTAAGCGAGTTGTCGGCTACACAAATGGAGATTCAGGCCATCAGTAGCAGCTGCACCAGGTTTTTTAGATATGTTGGGAATGTAGGATTATTCGAGAGTTGGAAGGGCGCAGAGAGAGGAGGAACAGTAACAGTGTGCTTAAACAGTCCTAAACAGTAGCATTCTTGTGCTGGCTCTTCATCTCTTAATTGTTTTACTTTGGCATACTCGTCTTTGCTCATTCGTTTCTAGTTACACGTTTTTTGCATCTGTGCAATGCAAAAACGCATACTGTCGTGGGGTTGACTGCGTGTGTGTGTGTATGTATGTGTCTATGTATTCATTTGTATCGATTTCTCACCTTAAGACCCACAACAGCTACAAGGCTGAAACTTTGGGAACTTAATCTTCATGCAAACACGGGCCCCTATTCCCAAAATGGACGCTCTTGCCCACGTGGTTCTCACGTACGGCCCCATCAAAGTTTTTTGTGGGTAAGCTGCTAACTCGGGAGCCAGAAAAGCTAGAAAGTTGAAATTTTAAAGGGATGTTCCCCACTTACGTAGGTCTTAATGAGTTCAAACCCATCTCCCAGGTTTGTGTGGTTCCCACGTGCGGGCCCGTGAAATTTTTTTGCGGGTAAGTTGCTAACTCGGAAACCAGGAAAGCTAGAAAGATGAAATTTTAAGAGGACCTTTCCTGGCAGTCCTAACGGCCAGTCTTAATTTGTTTAGCTAGAAGCAAGTGGAAAAAGCAGTGCCGCTAGCAAAAAAAAAACCTGCGGAGAACTATGCAAAAAACGCATCATCGCACCGGTGGTCAGTGCGCTAGCGAATTACTTATTAATTGAAGGAGCAATTTCGATGAAAACGAAGCGCACTGGGTTGCACGTGAACTGGAAAATCGTTACAGTCTGTCGAATTTATCACTTATTAATCACACTTACATATTAAATGTGCAGATTTTCGCAAATGAGACGGCAATGATGGAAGCGCTTTCGAAAGATTTCAGAGAATCCTTCTTATGTACAGACTACATTGGTATATCTTTCTGTGCTTTCTAAGAGAAGTTCTTCCTTGAAATTAAAGAAGTGGATGGGCCCCTAAAGTGGTTGTACCTAATTTCTACTTTTGCTGGTGTATTCTTCCTCACTTTTTGCTTCTGGAAGCATTCCATAACATCTGGTCAGAAACGTTTTGGCCAAATGATACGTGGTTTTCATATGCATTTCTCTTCTGGGGTTAATTCCTAAGCAGAATTTCGAAGCATAAAAGTTGTGGCAAAGAAACAATGCCGTGAAAGGTGCTTGAAGTTTAGAATTGGATAGAATTAAGTATCAGTGGTATGCAGAATATCGTCATGATTATGAGAGAAAATAAAATCAGACAAGCAGGGAGCTACATTCACTGCCGGTAACCAGTGATTGCCCCGTATCACTGAGTGGTGCTTATAAGGAAAATAATTGGCCAACGCACCGGCTACCAGTGCGAAGTTGCTTTTTTTGCATAGTTCCCCGCAGTTTTTGTCGCTTCTGGCACCGGTTCTTCCGGCAAATGCTTTGTTGGGAGCAAGTGATCTTGCTCTCCCCTTTCGAGAACGTTCCAGCACAACTCGGACCTGGAGCGTAGATCGACTAGCTAAGTTTAAGGCAGTGTGCTGACGATCGACAGGACTGTGCGGCCGACCAACAAGGATCGACGTCTCCCCAGCAGCAGCTTCGTCAGCGGCTCGAGGAACGTGGAGTGTGAAGGCCAGACGGACCGTGCTGACCATGGTACCCCGGTCAGCACCAACCGAAGAATCACGGACTCGGAGCTCCATAATTACCAGTTTTGATATTTCCTATTGTACTAATAAAAATCGAACACAACGTGTGTCGCAAAGGACGCAACATGCTTCTAGCTAAACAAGTTAAAACTGGCCGCAAGAACTGTCAGGAAACACACCCTTAAAATTTCAACTTTCTAGTTTTCCTGGCTCCCAAGTTAGCAACTTACTTGAAAACAACTTTCCCGTGCCTGCACGTGGGTACCACGCGTAACCAGTGTCTGGGTTTGAGCTCATTAACACTGGGATGGGGAAAATCCCTTCAAAATCCCAGTCCTCTGCTTCTCAGGTTCCCGACTTAACGGCTTACTCGAAGAAAAATTTCTCGGATCCGTACATGGGAACCACGCGTAACCGGAGGCTGGGTTTGAGCTCATCAACACCTGCGTGGACGGGGGGACATCCCCTAACTTTTCAGTTCTCCGAGTTGGGAATTTACCCGTAAAAAACTTTCACTGTCTCGTACATGGGTACCACGCATATCTGATGTCTGGGTTTGAGCTCATTGAGTCTTACTTGGACGAGGAACATCCTCTTAAAATTACAGTGTTCTGGCTTTTCAGGTTCTCGAGTTAACAACTTATTCGAGAAAAACTTTGACGGGCCCGTATGTGGTACTACCCACGCACACCCGAGGACTGGTTGGGAGCTCATGAAGACTTACGTGGACGGGGAACATCCCCTTAAAATTTCAGTTTTCTAGCTTTCCAGGTTCTCGAGTTAGCAACTTACCCGGAAAAGAATTTGGCGAATCCGTTCGTGTGTACCACGTTGGTAAGAGCGCCCGTTTTGAGGAACAGAGCCCGTACTTGCATGTAGATTAAGACCCCAAAGTTTCAGCCCAGTAGCTTTTGTAGATCCTGAGATGAAAAGTCGGTACGGATGCACAGACACACAGACAGCTCCTTGTCACTATGCGTTTTCTGCATTGCTTAAATGCAAAAAACGCATAAAAACGGTCAGAGGAACGAATTCTAAGCATGCGATGATATCGGCAAGTAGAAGCAGTTGTGTGCTTGATGAATATACTAACTCCAGCACAGCGGACGATCGGCAACAGAGCATGATAAATGCAAGCCTTCCAGCCTCCTCCTAGCCTCGGCTGATCGATACCAAAGAAGAACAGAAGCATCTTATCAGCCCCTTTTTTTTGAACATATTGATGCACTGTCACATATCGCATCGAGGCGTAAATTTGAAATATTTGCGAACAGTGCGCATTTTCAGTCCCAAAAGTGCTCAGCGGATGAAATGATTATTGCTGTACATTTCTTATCGGTGCACTCTGTTTGCTGACAATGATTTTGCAGCCGGTGTGATATTTGATGAATACAACAAAAGCACGGCACGTTTACGGTATACGTTACGAATTCGACAAACTGACGATCTACAATCACAGTGGTACATTGGCGATGATGTTTGGGGGCCCGGCGGAGCGTATGAAGTTATGGAAGATCACTTTCAAGTAAACATCAACCCGAACTACTGGTCCTCGGGTTTCCTGTCGCTACAGTATGCGGTGGAATCTGTTTTCCTTAAAGTGCGTTTTTTTATTCTTACACATCTCAATTCGGAGCTATTGTATTCGCAGTTGACGCGCTTATTTCTTTTGCAAGAACAAAACGCCGGGAAAAAACACAGATTGGTAAAAATAAAAATTTGGACGATGAAAAAAAAAAAAAAAAACTAAAAAATGAAAAAGCGGGAAAATTGAAAAATAAAATGGGAATAGAGCTGCTCATTTGTCTTGAAAATCATTTTTTTTTTTTTTTTTCGGTGATTCTTTAAAAACTTGTGATAATAAAGTGGACTTACATATCAAAGAGCGGGGAAGGAAAGCCACCTGCAGACTCACTGTCTCAGACATTCCACGGACAAATATCCATCGACAACTTTATGAAGGAATTATTACTATTCTCAGAGTTCTATCTCCCGGTTACAGAAGGTGCACTTTTCATGTTTTGTTTATTTTTTGCAGAGCATTGACAGTGCGAAGTACAGTGGAGATGATTTGGAGTTCAGTTTGGAGCGATTGCCCGAGCCAACTTATTTTGAGAAAGCAGTTACGCATTTTCTATCATTTTTAATAATTTTTTGGCGGTTATCTGTGATGCCGTGCATTTTACATACCGTTTCGAATATTGCCAGTGAACGACGTAGCGGCATGCAGGCAATTTTTTATTTTTATTTATTTTCTTGAACTCATCGCCGTAAAATTATGGATCGCTTGGTTTTACCAGCTTTTGAGTAATCCGGGCAGCGGGCAGCAGTGCGAATTCATAATGAGTGCTTTGTTTGGCAGTACTTCAATCTTTGTTTGTGTCGATGAAAAATTGCCGAATTTATTATTTTTTCAGTCGCTGTGGTTTATTTTTGGCTTTTACTGGTTTAATATGTTCCGGGCGAGTATTTGGGCAAACAGATTTTCTGAATTTTAGCTAGTTGGTCCCTCAAAATATCAGCATTTTGTTTTACCAAGGACTCTTTAAAGTGCCGAAGGGCCTACACTTATACTTGGAACCACTGATACAGTGGAGACTTATTCATTCTATAAATCACTGTTGCACTTCAATGATAAATTAGTACTCCGGCAAGTGCTGTGGGTTATATTGTTTATATTGTTTTTCTTTCTTCCGGTTTTTCAAGTCATTTATTGCTGTCACAAAGTGCTCTGCGATTTTGCCGAGTAATAATTGCTCTTTAAAAATCGTCGTCGTTCGGGCTATTTCCCCGTCCTTCTATCTATGGCTGTGAAAAACAGAATGCTTGTAACTTGATAAATTGCGGAATATTAGTAGATAACGATGATTTAGATAACGGAGTTTCAGGTTTACACACACATAAATCGATGATTTGGTAGATAACGGAGTTTCAGGTTTGCTAATGCAAAAATTTATATCTTCAGAATTTGTATCTTTGCTTGGTCTAAGGAAACTTTGCAATTCTTACTTCTTTGTTCTTCAAATATTTATTTTTTACCATTGTTCCAGGCTTTTTTGAAAGTAATGGGTCTCGAGCCATTAATTTTTTATCTGTCACATGGAATTTTTGCGTATATGAAAGCTGCCTTTGTGTTGCTCATTTGCACACTAATACTATTGCCGAAATTTCAGGTAAAGCACCAATTGGTATATTTAGGCTTGAAAAAACTAAAGATTTAGTGCGGCAATGCATGTGCATGGGCGGATCCAGGGCGGCTTCCTAGGCGGAAGGGGGAACATTGCCAGTGGCAAAACCTCCACCATCGAGGTTTGTTTCC